AGAATTTAGTGCTAAGTTCTACTGTTTCTTGTTGTTATTAGTACCATGAATGTTCTCAGCCTGTGTGAATATACATTTGAGGAATGATATGAAACTACATTCTTCCAGGCCTCCAAAGCTCTCAGCTTTAAATTAAATTAAGATATATTGAATTTTTTTCCTCATTTTTTCATAATGAATTGAAAACTCATTTGCATACCTATATAGGCAACTAAGAAGTAAGAAGCCTTCATAATCAAAGAGGTCAGAACTGTGTGAATGTGATAGAGTTGTCCCTTTGTGGCAAATGTTAATGAATGTCTCTCTTCCTATAGATGATGAAGATGTCATCACTTGGCTGCTTCATCTATTATTGCATGGTGATGAGATGACAAAACTCATAATTGCTGCTTTATGTTGGAGTATTTGGCATGGAAGAAATGATGCAGTATGGAACAATAAACATTGGAATCCTACTAATGTTCTGCATGAGGCGCAACATCTTTGGGAAACCTGGCAACATATGGCAGTGTCCATTCCTATTGGTAATATTTTGTCTCCTCCTTCGCATGCAGTTAACAACATCCCAGTGGATGCGATTAAAGTTTTGTAGTAATTCAAATTTGTAAGATCGTAGAGAGAACAAATGCGGGCAGTGGTAAGATCGGAGAAGAACGAAGGAGAACAAGGCATATGGGAGAAGAAAGCAATAGCTAAGGAAAAGACAATTTTAGCCCTTATACTAACACCTAACTAACTGATCTCTAACGAAAGGACCATGCTGGAACAAATATGATAGTCAAGGGTTTATTTTGTCCAAATTAAAAGACAAGGACTAATTTTGGAAAATCGCAATAGTCAGAGGACCATTGCTGGAATTAACTCTAACCAAAACAATAAGTCAGAGGAATCATTATTTCAGAGTATCCAACGGACCATTTATTTACTAATACAAAACAGCTAATTCGTGACCCTTGTAAAGGGCTTTTCGCGACTTTGTACAAGGGTCACAGATATTAAAATCGCGAAAAGTCTTGAACTTTTCGCAACTGATGTGAAACAGTCGTAAAATGTTGAGAATCCCACAATCGTTCTTAGAAAAGAATGATCACGGATTATATATATATTTTTAAATCTTCACTTTTCGCGGTCATTCTTAGTGAAGATGGTCGTGGAAACTCATTAAAAAAAATCTGTCAAAACTTCAATTTTCACATTGCAAATTTAAAACAAACAAATGGGTTGATACTATCCTCTTCAGATCAAACTTCATCAAAACAAACAAATGGGTTGTTGTACAAAGAGTGGTGTCATTTTTTACAAATAAACCTAAAAAATAAAAAAAAATAAAAAAAAAATTGAGAAGAATTGAAGACGAAAGCTTTGAGCAGCGGTTCTAAAAAAAAAAAAAAAGAGAGAAACGAAGGGTAAATGGTGAAATGAAGAGAAGATCCTGAGAGAGAAAGACCAGAGCATGGAGTGAGGAAAATAAAGATCATTAGAGAGAAAATTTGTTGTTGGTGAAATGAAGAGTACTATTGCAAGAGAAACGAATATTATATTTATTTGTACTTTGTAGTGTAAATAATATAGCTATCATTCTAAGTAGAATTGTGGTGGAAATTATATTTTAGGGAGTAATTGTTTTTCACTTTAATTCTATAGTTTTCGTGGCCGTTCTAAGTGAGTGGAACGATCACGGAAACTATTCATAATTTTTCATATCGCAACTGTTTTACTTAGAAATAGTCGCAAATTCTTGTTTAAATATTTACAATTTTATCACCGTGAATTTTTATTTTTTGTAACAATATCTTACCCTTTAAAAAAAAAAAAAAAAAAAACAGTAGTGAAACATCAATTTCCTATATTCTTTTTTTTTTTTACTAGTGATAGTCTGAGATTCTAACTAACAGGTCCAATTGTATTTAACAACTTACGTCAACTTATACATGTCATGCTGTGGACTTGCTTGTCTCATGCTCTTTACAAACTTACAATGACATCTAACCTTTACTCACAGTTTAATTTAATTCATCACTACTTCTTTAACTAATGGATCAAACTTTTCACTCAAAAAATTAAACATTTGCTAAATGTGTTTCATTAAAGTTTGTTGAGTGAACAAAATAGTGAGGCCTATAATCTAGCTAATGAAACTTGTGTCCATAGTCCGTAGTCGAAATCTTTGAACTGACAGCACAAGAAGACATCGTATTAACAACCCTGAAAACGAAAATGCGGAGGCAGAGAGAAAGACATTTAACTACAACTCTGGAAGTCAAGATGCATGTAATGTTGGTCGTACGTTATAGGTATTCTTGGTGTGTTTACAACGTTTTCACATTAAATGCGAGTAAACACTTATTTTTTGGTCAATGTTCATTGGTACGAATTGAAGTAAAGTGTCTCACTTTATGTGTCTGGTTCAATTGATAAGACTTAAATCAATTTTTTTTATCACATGTAGTTAGAGTTAGTATACGTTCTGTAAAATTTAAGAAAAGTGATCTATACTATCTATAAATCTCAATGACTCATTCACTTGGTACAAACTCCAAAACTTTTTAAATTTACTTTTGGTTGTACCTAGTGTCAAAAGCATCAAGTTATACTTTAGAATATATATATATATATATATATATATATATATATATATATATATATATGTGTGTGTGTGTGTGTGTGTGTGTGTGTGTGTGTGTGTGTGTGTGTGTTTATAAACTACATTAAAAAAATACGATTAAACACAAAAGATCATACCAAAATTAAAAATTAAAAGAAAATGTTAAAGAAAATAAATGAAGAAAAAAAAATTGGATTAATTAATGAATAGTAAACATAATAAGTAAATGAGATATTAAATTTACTGACTAATTAATCGAAAAAAAACCAGTTCAATTATTTCGATAATATAAATTTTGATAGTTTAGAAATTTCGATTAATTCGATTCGATTAACCAACCGATTAACTGAATGAACACCCTTATAAATGTGTTCTAACTAGGATGTACACATTTTGTTAAAGGGAATCAAAATTTGCTTACTTAAGTATTTATTTTCGATTATGTTTGGTATGTATATTTTCGATTTTGTTTGGTATGAATATTCGCCGATCGGAAGAAAACACGCAGATCAGAACACGGGTCGCGGAGTATGTAGTTCGAAAAAAATCGAACAAAAAAACTGTGTATTTCAATTTTTCAAAAAAAAAAAAAATGTTTTTTTTTTAGTATAAAACATAAAACATATACATATAAGTATATAAAAAAAATTACCAATATTATAGATTGTTTTGTTTGGAAAGGTATGTCGTATAACAGTTTGTATAAAATATATATATATTGGCTCTGTTGACAGGAGCTTACAGGGCGTTTGGTTGGAGGGGAAATTATGTGGAAAATGAATTGTAATTCTGTGGGAGTTGAATTACTGGGAATAAAGTAGAAATTTAAATTCCAGTGTTTGGTTGACAGGAATAGAATTATTGAGAATTTCAATTCCAATGTTTGGTATACATGGGAATTGAAAGGTAATAAATAGTATAAAGTCAAAAATGTTCATTATTGTTGTTAGACATTAATTTTAAGTTAAAAAATAAATAGGTAATTTTGACTCATCACTATCATTTTTTCCCAGGAATTAAAATTCCAGAGGGGGACATGGGATTTTAATTCCATAAAAATGGGAGAATTGCAATTCCATTGAATTGCAATTTCCTCCAACCAAACTACGGAATTTAATGGCCTTTGGAATTAGGTGGGAATTAAGTGGGAAGGGAATTTAAAATCCCTCCAACCAAACGGCCTGTTATAGTTTATTTTAAACTACTAATAAGTTATAAGCTATGTTTGGTAATGTTCTCAAAATAAGCTCATAGCTTAAAATAAAAGCTTATTTTGGAGCTACCTAAGGTAGCGTTTCAAAATAAGCTACTAGCTTTTAACTTTTTTTTTTTTTCATCTTTGTCCTTATTATTTTAAAGAAATGAATCATTTACCATTCCCAATTAAAATCCTTTTATCTTATCCTTTACCAACTTTCACGGCAATTATTATTATTATTATTATTATTATTATTATTATTATTATTATTATTATTATTATTATTATTATTATGGGATGAAGGAGATTTGTAACAATATTGTTACTTCATTATGGGATGCTAGATCATGATTATGCTAAAAGTTTTGTTTCAAAATGTTTTTTTTACAAAATGTTAAATTTTAATATGTAAACAAACTACTTTAAATTTTTTGAACTTTTTAATATTTTTACATTTATCAGCTTATCAAAAAGTTAATTTTACCGAACAATTTCATTTGTAACAGTTAGCTTAACAGCTCTTCAATTTTCAGCTCATAGCTTATAACTTTTCAGCTTTAAACTCTGAGCTTATAGCTTTTCAGCTAGATTTGCCAAACAGAGCCAAGGAAAAAAAAAATTATGATTATGCATACTAAAAAAATATATATCATGCATTCATACCAAATAATTGTCTAAAAAGCATATAATCAAAAAATATATCCACAGAGCACAAAAATAATAGTCTTTTTAATTTTTATTCTCGACGTAACATTATTGTATAAATTTTTGTTAATTTTAAATACTTAATTATTACATGAATCTTTGTGACATTTAACTCATGCTAAAGTGGTTCAATTCACTAAATCTATGAAGTAAGTGTTTTTAATTGCATTGGTATTATCTAGAAATAAAGAAATAAACATTATTGGGGAAATAAGAAATAAAAATTATCACTTATTCACTTAGATTAGAGTATAAATTTTGATAACAATTGCGAATTTTTTGTAAATAAAAAAATAAATTTTTATGAGAAAAAAACAGTAATCCAATTAATAACTAGGCATAAGAGTGAATTTAAGTATATAACTATACAAGTGGGAACTGATAAGGCTACTCCCACCAACCATCCGTAATTAATCATTGTATTATTTCCAGAAAGAAAACAAAACAAATAAATAAATTAATTAAACCCAAAAACTCAAAAAGTGGAGGAACCAATGAAGCTCTTGACCATATCTCATATGTATATATATCCTCCAACATGGGATATTCCACCAATCCTACCATGGTTTCACTCCACTTTCAAATTTCATGCCATTAATCCTAAATTTTTGCCTTTTTTTTATATCATAAAAGAATGTTAGTTCTCCACTATTCCGAGTGACGTGTGTCGAATGCTCTGAGAGTCCTCAATAGAAATCTCCGATCGAACTGCATTTTCATTCACAGAGGAAAGAATGAGTCTTGCAAATCCCAGCACAACTTGGGCAAAGACCCATTCTTTTTGCGGTAGATTCAGATCCGGGTCTCTCATAAAAAACAATGAGTTCCGCATAAATCTCTCATTCCCAAGCTCAATCAAGAAACCGCTGTTTCATTCTTGTTCGGCGATTCTCACCAAGGAGCAGACCGATGTTCCCCAGGAAGAGAGCGAGAACAAGAAGCCGGGCAAGCTTGATTTCAAGGCGTACGTGTTGGGGAAGGCGAATTCGGTGAACAAGGCGCTGGAAGCGGCGGTGTTGCTCAAGGAGCCGCGGAGGATTCACGAATCCATGAGGTACTCTCTCCTCGCCGGCGGGAAGAGGATCCGGCCAATGCTATGTATCGCCGCCTGCGAGCTCGTCGGCGGGGACGAGGCCACCGCCATGCCGGCGGCCTGCGCGGTGGAGATGATTCACACCATGTCTCTGATGCACGACGACCTTCCGTGTATGGACAACGACGATTTGCGGCGAGGGAAGCCCACGAACCACAAGGTTTACGGCGAAGACGTGGCGGTTCTCGCCGGGGATGCCTTGCTGGCATTTGCCTTTGAGCATATAGCCGCCGCCACAAAAGGGGTTTCCTCAGAGAAGATAGTGAGGGTTATTGGTGAATTGGCTAAGTCCATTGGCGCTGAGGGGCTGGTGGCTGGGCAGGTGGTGGATATATGCTCAGAGGGAATCTCCGATGTGGGATTAGAGCATTTGGAGTTCATTCATCTCCACAAAACCGCAGCTTTGCTGGAGGGGTCTGTGGTTCTGGGAGCGATTCTGGGTGGGGGAACTGAGGATGAGGTTGCTAAATTAAGGAAATTCGCCCGGAACATCGGGCTGTTGTTTCAGGTTGTTGATGACATTCTTGATGTCACCAAATCCTCCAAGGAATTGGGGAAGACAGCTGGGAAGGATTTGGTTGCTGACAAGGTCACTTATCCTAAGCTGCTTGGGATTCAGAAGTCCAGAGAGTTTGCTGAGCAGCTGAACAAAGAGGCTCAGGCTCAGCTCTCTGGCTTTGATCAAGACAAGGCTGCCCCGTTGATCGCCTTGGCCAATTACATTGCTTACCGGGAGAACTGATTCGATTCCCAGTGAGTGAGTCGATTCTCGTACTAGAACAAGTGAAGAACTGCCATTTGATATATGATGATGATGATGCCTGTGGATGGCCCTCTCTTGTTTGTGCATTACAAAATCGATAGAGTTAGTCTTAAGATTTGACTGTGTAATGAAATATTGCTGAAAAACTGCCATTGTTCAATGATTATCCTTCACTTTTCAAGATTCGCTATTTCCTTATTTCGTTTTGATGCTCAATTAGTCCCCGGTCAAGTGTTTTCTGCTCGCCTAGTAGACGATAAATCATTCAAGAACTTTAGACTATTTGGGTAGTTCCAGAGTCAGTGTTTTGCATTGTTTGTGCAACTTTTGTAGTGGAATCGTAACTTATTTCGTGTAGGTACCTTGTATGCATACGTCTATTCCATTTCTTTTTACAGGTTCAAATAATGCTGGTAGGTCATATGTCACCTTCTATTGTTGTTTGGATACTTGGTCCATCCTGTTTGAATTGCTTGTACAATATAATATAGTTGCTTGTTGCCTTGTTGTGTTAGCAGGTCATATTATTCGGTGTCTAAGATAAATTACTATGTAGACTATGATGTGTTAATCCAATCTTAGACACTAGCGTGTGGAAATTTGTTGGTTTTTTACTTCAGATAAGTGGGGCGGGATGGGCAAGAACCGCAAGATGCAGATTGGAAGTAAGGTAATATCTTACACTCTTACACTTACGAGAGATTGTTAGTATCTGTGGTTTTACAAGTCAATAAAACGATTCTTGTGTAGAGTGTTGCAACTTGCAGGCATGTTCTACGGTACTTACTGCATGAACTAGTATTCTAGTAATGAGTGTTTCTTGTGAAATTTTGTACTGCTGATACTTGGAAACAGTAAAATTATATGTCACCGAACAATATGTAGAAGTTCGTTCATTCTTTTAGCACAGGTTACCTTCGTAGCTCTGTAGAGATGTCCTCTTGAAATCCCAACTCAGCCCGGGAAGTGTAGTTTTGGGATAGGATTCCTCCAAAGAGAAACGAGGCATGGTATGGAGGAGATGATGCCCCTAGATGAAATTGAATAGCGGGTGAAGCTAGGTAGTTTAAGAACGGGTCGTTTGGAAGGTTCCATAAGTTGAAACGCCCCTCACAGACGGGTGCATAGAGTAGAAGCTAGCTGAACTTGAGCCATAAAACGAAGTTTTGGAAACAGAAAAACACTCTCGGAGATATCAGTGGTTTTGCAGTGTTATTAGGTATGATTAAGATGAAATAGTGGTTGAAGTTTCTTATGCTTTTACTAGGTTTCAGATTCTCAGACATAAAAACAATGTTTTGGGTTGTGGATGACAATGTTTAGCTCTAGCCTGCGGTAAGAACAACATCAGGAACGAATACAAAAAGTATAGACGCCGTTGCCGGGGATCGAACCCGGGTCACCCGCGTGACAGGCGGGAATACTCACCACTATACTACAACGACTTGTTGCTTTCTTAGACTGTTAGATTTAATTTGTTTAAAAAGTATTTTGCTTTTTGTTTTTAATGACAAAGCAAACCCACTATGGATCTATAACTAAACGAACTTGTTCCCCTCAGGTCCCATACAAGGCTACCATAGGTTAGATTCATCAATAGACGCACGTTTATCATTTGGGATAGGTTGTATATGCAACGAGATTCATGTTTTCTATATTTCATTTCTTTGCATATTAAACACAATATTAATATGAAACAAAAGTTAATCTTACGAGATTCATGTTTTGTATATTCATTTTCTTTGCACATTAAACACAATATTAATATGTGGAGTGGAACAAAAGTTAATTTTATATATGGAGTTTTTGAAATCTAATCCTAATTTTGTATTTTTTGTCATATTAAAATGTCAATAAATCAAGTAGTCCATGCATTCGCTAAGGCTTCTGGTTCGCACTACGATTTCAAATTTTGGTTTTCTTGTCCTCCTGTTTGTATTTTGGATTTCTTTGTTCATTCTTAATATATTTAGTCCTTTATTTTCAAAAAAAAAAAAAAAAAAAAAAAAAACATCATCAACAATATTAATAGCCAGTCACTAAACATTGTTAATTTCAAAAAGTCAATATAAAAAAATATATATTTTGTCTTTTTTGTCCGCAGAAGTGTATGATTTGTTGTTGAATCTTGAAATTATATTTACTTGATTTATCTTCAATTGTTATACCATAGACTAGGATTTATATTGCATTGTGAACCTTAGTCCTAAAATTATGTGTCTACGGTTGAAACATTATGTACCTATAGTTAATAATTTTTGTACATGTAAACAAATGAAGGCACATAATATGGTAATTACATACACATAACATGATAACTACATACACATCAATTGTTAACTACAGATACATAAGATGTTGGTTAACATGTTATGTATCTGCAGCTAATATATTTTGTTCCAACAATTAACAGTTTATGTGTCTGTAGTTATCATGTTATGTGTCTGTAATTACAATGTGATGTGCCTTCAATTTGTTTACAGGTGAAAAATGGTTAACTACAAGATGTGTCAACTGTAAGTACAAAATCTGAAATTTATTTTTGGACCAGGGTCCACAATGCAAGGTAGACCCTAGTCCATTGTATAATTTGCAATTTATATTCTTGTGGGCCAAAGATGAATTTATAGGGTCTAGTATATAATCTGACGGAGCCATATATCTGGGTTATTAATAGATGGCGACATGGGACTCCGGGGGCCATTTTTATTAAGAAAGTATTGGTTGAAGGGATGGTGAAGGATTAAGCCCAAGTATTGGCCTAAGGGGGCGCAATGGTGAAGGTAGTAGCACACTAGTACCATGGATGGAGGGGGAAGTGATTAGCCCCTGCCACCCTGCACATGGCCAGCGAGGTTAGCCCATCGAGCTCCGTAGGATATGGCGTGTCCAGCGGGGGTGGTGCTCCCCCAGGCACAGTAACGGCGCCCCCACTTGAAGTGGGCGTAGTATTAAAGGTATGTACATGGAAAGGGTGGTGATCGGTCCTTGGTTGTGGGCGCATGGTCGGCGAGGTTAGCCTATCGGACTCCCCATGACGTGGTGTGCTAGCGAGGTCCAAGCAACCCCCCCCCCCCCCACACCCTCCTGGCACACCATCAGCACCCCCACCAGCAGAGCCATGGAATTCGCCCCAATTAGCAGAGCCATGGAATTAGGTTGGGATGAAGGGATGTGGCTGAGAAGCAAGGGGGTAGAGAAGGTGGGTGAGAAGTTGGAGATGTGGGTGAAGACATGGGGCATGACATTGACACGTGGAGGGTGAATAGGGTAGGCAAGTTATGACCGTCCACTTGGCAAACCGCGAGAGGTTATTGAACACTATAAAAGGGGTGGTCTTTCTTCCTTGGTACCATTACAAGCCCCCCTAGTTCAGTGGTATGAGTTCTTAAATAGATTATGCATAAAAAGATGCCACACCACACCTTGCACAAGATGGCAAACATGTGAGGTTCCCCCTTTCTTTCCCTTGATAATATTTCAAAGCTTCCAAAAAAGTTGGTATTTAAAAGGAGGGAAAATTTCTCCTTGGAAAGCAATGTGAGACAAGAGCTGTTAAGAAACTACACCTATTTTGAATGTTATATCCAACAGTTTGATTCCCCACGACTACAATATTATTCTTAGTCCTTTACTTGGGCTATATAGCTTGTATTATTTATTTATTATTTGTGCTGTCATTTTGCAATCGTTATGCTATGGACCTGTGTTCAGCATGCATTGTGGAGACAGTAATGGTGCCGTTAGTGGCACCGTTATCTTCCACTTTAAAAAAAAAAAAAAAAAAAAAAAATCAGATCGCTTCGTTATAGGAGTATATGTTCATAATTTTATCACTATATGTTCATAATTGTAAGTTCATAATATCAGAGCTCTGTGTTCATAATTCCATAAATGTACATTCATACTTCCATAACTGTACATTCATAATTCCGTAACTGTACATTCATAATTCAATAACTGTAAATTCATAATTTTTGAAGCTCTATGTTCACAATTTTAGAGCTCTATGTTCATAATTTTATCACAATATGTTCATATTGTAAATTCATAATGTCAGAGCTCTGTGTTCATAATTCCATAACTGTACATTCATAATTCTATAACCGTACATTCATAATTCCCTAACTGTACATTCATAATTCCATAACTGTACATTCATAATTTTCGAAGCTCTATGTTCATAATTTTAGAGCTCTATGTTCATAATTTTATCACTATATATTCATAATTGTAAGTTCATAATGTCAAAGCTCTGTGTTCATAATTCCATAACTTACATTCATAATTCCATAACTGTACATTCATAATTTCATAACTGTACATTCATAATGCCACAAACGAATAACGCTGTTAACGCCGTTAACTGCGAGACAAAATCAAATTTTTTTTTAACTAGAATACCGCGTTTTCCCTGAAAACGACGTCATTTTAGACTCGTGTCCACAATGCATTGTGGACACGAGTACATAGCATAATTTGCAGTCATTTTGAGTCAATATCTTGGACTTTGTACAAAGTATTTTGGGCCATAATACTACTCTTTTTTTACTCACGTTCTGTACTTCTATACCGGATTTATGATGCACCTGATAAGACAAAACCATAATTAATAAAAATGCCGGCCTTCACAAAAAGTGCACTTGCACAATCAGATTGGAGTAGGACAGTGGAAGACCGCGATTCTTTAGTCACGAAAGACACAGAAGCATGTCATACTTAATTCTAAGATTGTTTAGAGTGTATAATTATGTGATAACTACTAAGTCCTAAAATTCTTCTTGTTCTATTGTAACAAGCCTTCAGTTGTTTATTATTTCTTATGTGGTGAGTTGATGTTTTCATTAATGCTCCCCAGCTACCATCTTAAATGCAAGTGTATATATCCTGCAGGCTGCAGCTCACCGGCCTTATGGTTTCCAGTAGCAAGAAACCCATTGACCTTGAGGATCAATATGCTTCCCTGTCACTACATGAAGAGGAGGAGGAGAATGAGGGCCAAACGCTGGTACGGTGGAATATAATTGAACATGCTTTCAAATACTATTACTGGTAAGTGCAGTGAATTGAAACGCCCATATATAGCGTACAAATGAAGCTAGCTAGCTGATCTTGAGACATAAAAAGAAGTTTTGGAAACAGAAAAACACTCCCAGATAGATATCGGTGGTTTTGCAGACATAAAAACAATGTTTAGC